CTGGTTTCTGGATGCTGTCAATGTGAATCTTGAAGAACTACCATGTATGTTGTATTTATATGTCCTTTTATATGCTCTTAGTACTTTACAGATTGGCAAATTCCAATGTCTGCTGCTTAAACATTTAAAAAAGACATGTCAGTGGATACTTTAAAAACCTACTTATGAATGAAAAACACTACTGAGAAAGCCATCCTTTTGTGTCAGCCTCCAAAAAAACGTCTTGCTTTAAACAGAATGTCTGTTTGGCATGACAGTATCTTACCTTTATAAAAAAAGTCTTGTTTATGGTGCAGAGATTTTAAATTCTAAGCAACATATGGCTTAATTATCATTGCTAAAAACCAATCTCTTCACAGTGCTCGATAGAAGTGTTTCCAGTCAAAAGCAGAAAAAGTAATTCCTTCTAGTAGCATGACTGTAATGCTTCGAAACATCACCTTTTTTTTTAATCAGTTCAATATGTTTTGGTGGTTTGGATGAGTAGTGTTTGATACAAAAAGGGAATAAGCTGGTAAGTAGTTAACACTTACTGAATGTTAACAACTGAATATCCAGTGAAAATCTCTGTAAATGACCATTTACATGCTGCAATTTTGGTGTCTCCTAGGACTTAAAATAGACTAATTTTCCTGTAACTTCATATTGGGCAGAGAGATACCTGTATTTGATGCTCATACAATACATGATATACTCTCCCAGCTTACAGCTTGTTATCAGAAGCATCCTGGGACCCCTTTCTGCCTTTCTTTTTGTGTTTCATTAATATGTATTGTCCCCTTAGAGCTGAATTTGCTCTGCTATTCACATCTTTTATATGCTTAACAAGTGCTTCCTGGCCCAGCCCCCTTGCCTATTCTGACAAAGTTATTTTCTAGATAGATTTTGATTACTTTTGCCCTGTCCAAAAATCTAAGGTTTCAAGTGCTTGTTTTGAGAAGAAATGTATCTCTTTAGGCATTAGAATTATCTGCTGACCATCTTTATCCTGCTCTTGAACTCAGTCTGCCCTGATTATTACTACCAGAACATTGCCATTTCTACCATTTCTACGTTTTCATCTACAACTCCACTTTCACATTGTCAAGTACATTATGGACTTCTCACTACTTTGAATCACTCTGAATGGTCATAACACCCTGGTGTCTTTTGTATGCTTTTTGTACTTCAGTGCTCTTGTCAAGTTAGCTGAAAATTAACAACTAAGGACCATAATTTTATTAAAATTTAAATTTAATTTTAAATTTCTTTTTGGTAATACCCATACCACCCAGTATGGATATTTAAATGAGAATGCTAAAAGAAAACTTTGACAAGTAGGAAGAGGAGTTTTTAGTTTTGCTGGAGGACTCCATAAATAGTGTATATCTGAGAGTTCTTTCAAGTCTCTGGATGCTGAAAAACCTTGCTGGAATGAGAGATTTTCCCCAAAACTTTCCACAGGTATAAATACTATTTCTAGGGACACGCTTACAGATAAAATTCTAGGCAAACCCCAGAAGGTTTAAAAAAAAGTTAAAAATGTTAAAATGTTAAAAAAAAAACACTAGAGGCTTGCTAATAAGAAATTTTTTAGACAGTTGCTTTATGCATTTAGAATCTTTGTTGAAGCTGCCTTTAGAAATCTTCATACGACTTTGAAATCTGGTGAAAACATGCATAGAGCTTTTGTGACTCAGAAACTCCCACATTAACATGTAGCAGCAACAGGCAAAAAATATGGGAGACTGGTAAAAATGCAGAATGGCATGGCTGGGAATGCCACCTAAAAGCTGAAGATGAAATGGAAATACTGAGAGTATGCTGGTGAGCAAGCAAATGGTGAGTGGGGCAGCAGCCTTTTTCACATTTGTCAAAATTGCTTTTTGGGGAGAAGCCTTGGCATTATGAATCAAATGCATCTTCTGCTTATAGCATCTTAGAATTGTCCTAAGTAAGTGTTTAGCACATGAAGTTAAGTCAAATCTGAACAAACCTTTTCTCTAAGAAGGAAAAAAATATCCATTCCTTTTTTATTAAAATATACCAGAAAGGAGGATAAAGCTGAAAGTGAAAAATACCTTCCAGTTTGTGAAGTTTTGGGTAGTTAAAATATTTTCACTTAATTTAATTGGTGAAATACTAATGTTGGGTTTTGCCACATAGAAGGGGAGTGGACTAGATTGAACTGGCTGCTGTTGACATCAGTAGATAACATGCATATAGACTTATTTTTTGCCAGTCAAAGGCAGACTGCTGTAAAATCATAATGGGCTGTAAACAAACAGATCTCTCCTTTTTACTTTGTAAGGCATGAGGTGGATCCAAAACAGGTTTGGTAAGAGAGGCAGAATAGAGCATTGATATGTAGGGATTAAAAGGCACTCAGTGTCATCGTGTATGACGTATTCTATGAGACGTGAACTACTGGTCTGACTTGGATGAACAGTAAACGTGCCTGCCTCTACTTAACCTGGAAAATGAGTATGTATAAATTATATGTGCTTGGTAAATAACCATCCACATACTTTCCCATGTTTATTGAGACTAAGCTTTTTTGCTATTCTTGATGCCAGCAATACAGCTTACATATTGGCATAGTAAGCACAATAAAGTAAAACATTTCTATGCACTAAACCTAAAGAGATTCACACAATAGTTGTGGTATTCATTTAAACTTTTCCTTCAGCTTACACTTTGCTGAAAATTTTAGTGAAAACTCTCCTACTTAAGTGGCTCCTTAACCTACTTAAGTGGTTGTAAGCAACCACTCTCAGTTCCTTTATTCAGTGCCACTATGGTCTTCAATGATTATTTTCTGCAGCATTCATTAACACACCGTAGAAACAGTCAGCAACCACTAATGAGCTGTGCCTCACTGGAACTGGGTTCACCAGGAAAAATTCTTAGTTTTATACTGGTGCAGCAGAGAAACTTCCACAATGCAAAGACACTGTGGAGCCAAGACGCCCTCCTTATCCATGCTTCTGACCCCATGTTTCTGCTTCACCTACCCTCTTCCTGACTTTAAGAAATCATTAGGAATTTCCAGATTTCCTCTGTTTTTTTGTTGTTGATTCTTGAATTCTTTACAAAGGCACTTTTGAAAGTAGTAATTTGAAATTTGGCATACTGTGAAGATGTTTCCAAAAAGCCAGTTCCCCTGGGATGGCATAGCTGTATTTCTAAATGACTCTCCTTCCCCTCAGGGTCTTTATATCAACAACTTTGCCTTGTTATGTCTTATATAAAACAAAATTGCTTCCTGACATCTGCCCAGCTGTTATTTTTTTTTTTTCTTTCCTCCCATTTATGGGATGCAGTCATCTGCATCACCATTTGAGAATTAAAATCATTGAGAAAAGCATGGAAAATATCCAGGACACAAATTCCAGAGGCAAATTACATTTGACCCAGAACAGCATGTTTAAAAAATAGTATCTTAGAATTAAAAAAAAAAAAATAATAAAGCAACTACATAAAATTACTTTCTCATGGAGACTGTGATAGATGACTCCAGAAGATAGGTTCCATATTGATTCATGTTTTTCAACAATCCTTTTTCTGAAACATTCATGTTTGGGCCTTCTACCTAATCACACCTGGTCTCTACAGACATCTGTCTCTTACAAAATGTGCTTATAGGAACAAAGACATATAAACTGCCATACCCCCTGGGTAAAGGTGTCATCAGTGACACTGAAGAAATCTGGGTGTTAGCTCCAGAAAAGGTCAGTGGACTTCATTGTAAAACTTTGTATAAGTGAAATCTATCTTTGCCTTAGTGTGATTTGTTTTGCTCTGATAATGCCTAGCTACTCTAAAGCTGGTACACCTGGTTCGGGCAGCAACCAGCCTCAGCCAGGTGGATACACAGCCCCACTGGTTTCTTAAGTATCCTTTTTCTCATTAGGACATCTTTTTTCTTTGACAACCTCAAGTGACACAGCAACTTCTTAGGTGATGCTTGCTTGAATTCACTTTCACAAACTTGGTAAGAAACTAGCCTAGAGGAAAAGGAGCTGGTGATAAAATGGCTTTAGGGAATCCCTGTCATGCCTTCTGGGCTCTGCTTAACCATCTTTTAGCAAAGCCACACAAGAGGACCAAAAGATTTAGATTGCACAAATATAAGCTTGCTGCTTATTGAGTGGCTGCAGATAGACTCCCATTGAATTTCAGGGCAATCAGTGCAAAAAAGGATTGGTCTTTTTTGTGGTTTTCTTTCTTTTCTTATACAAGAAAAATCTGGCTATCTCATCTTACTATTTTTACTAGTAATCTTCTGAGGAAGAACACACAGGAAGTGCGCTCCTTATTAATATGACAAAGAATGTCTTTACTGAGCAGTGCCAGTGAACCAGCACAGATTGAACAGAGTGGGTGTGGAGTCTCTCTCACTGGGTAAATCCAAGAATCATCTGAACATGATCCTGTGCCATGTGTTCTGGGATGGTCCTGCTTAAGCAGGGAGGTTGGACCAGATGACCTACTGTGGCCCCTTCCAACCTGACCCATTCTGTGATTCTGTGGGGCAGCAGAGGTGAGACTTTCACACAGGGCCAAAGGACATTGTTAACTAGAACAAAATCACTCATTACATTTTACAAGCTGCCATAAATGCAAGTAAGCTTTTTATTAGGGAGAAAATTAAAAAAAAAACCATAAAAATAGTTCATCTAATTGTGATGACAATAATTTTCATGCAGAAAAAATTTTTTCCATCTCACTAACACTTAAGAGACGTATATTGATCATGGGGATGGTATCATGGACAAATTGTTTTCTTATACCTGGTAACACTTTATGAGGCAAAATACATACTGAGGGGAAGAAACAACCATTTGAAATCAGTTTTTGCTATGTGAAAGTGTGAAATAGGGGTGAATGTACAGTACATTCTTAGAGAGAGTTTTAATTATACAGGATAAATGACACTGTGAGAAATAGCAACAGAATATTTTCCTATTTTATTTTACTCATTTAGAGCTCAGTCTCCTTTAAAATTAAAGCCAACTGACCTTGCAGGACAAGGATCCAGATTACACTCTTGAAGTTTAGGCTTTGGCTTGATATTTTCAGGATAATAGTGACAGTATTGATCTGCTACTACCCGATTGCTTCTCAGATCAAAGCACTCAGCAGATGTCAGCTGATAACCTGCGATACACAGAGGAATAAATAATATGAGATGTGATGTTCTTCCTGTCTGGCTCTGAAATGTATCTAAGTTCTGGTTTGGAAAAAGAAAACTAATTTTAGCTTGCTTCAGTGCCTTTGGACATAACAGCTGTTATTTTACAGGCCAGATTGAAAACAGCAATGTAAATCACATATAGTAGGAAACAAAAGATAACCAGTATGGTCAAACAAAAATTCAGAAGTCTAGAAAAAAACAAAGAAAAAACAAAGGCTGAGGTTTCTTAGTCACCAAGAATTGTGTCCTTAGTTTCAGCATAGAGAATAAACTTGCTGGTAGGAACAGGGATGAACGGAGACATCTTGTTTTACCAAAACCAGGCCCAAATCCCATCAACCCTTATGTTTGACAGCTGTATCATTAAATGCAGATATGGAGCTGTCAAGATGTACTTTATCTACAGAGTCTGCCACAATGCTGAAAATCTACAGACTACTACCACATTGCTAAATCCTTCCCTTCATTTAGTTGTAACTATTTAAATTTTCAGATTTTGCCCATTTTTAAGGTCGAAAACTCAGGACAGCAGCTGGGACAGGTCATGTATGCAGATGACAGCTTCTGAAACACAGTGATAATTCATTACCTCCACCACAGGATGCTGAACAAGGGAAAAAATCAGTTTCCCTCCATCTATGAATGATAGGCTGGTAGAAGATGAACTGGACTGAACTGTCAGCAGCACCAGCATAATGGATCTGAAAAAGAGGTTATATCAAAGAGTGAACCTAACAGAAATGCTGGGAAGTAGTATTCCACCACAAGCATCTTGCAGATTGGAGACACCTTGAAGCTTCATGAAATATCAGACATATTTTGCAATATGGAAACTAAATACAAAAAGCATTGATTGGTGGTAAAATCTTGGGTTCAAAACACAATCAAATAAATTTCTGGGCATAACCAATCACCATTTTGAGACCACATTCTGAAATAATGACTGCATGGCAAATGTATGATTAGTGCTACTGAATAATCTTATACGGACAGAGAACAGGGATAGATGTTTAATGAATCAGAAGATCGCCTTCCCCCATCTACTGTCCCTGACACATGGACATAGATTTTAGATCTTTAATATTTCCCAAAAAACATTCTCTTGCCAGTTATAATACTCTTGATAGAACAGAGTAAAATATGGGAGGCTGTACTATGAAAAATAATAAACAGTATAAAAACTTTAATTCACCTTTCTTGAGGTGAGGTCTTTATTTCATTCTCCTTTCTGGCACTGTCATTATTATGAAGTTTGTTCTTCTGCTTAATTTATTTTGCTTGTAAAAATGATTTTTTCAGACATAGGCATGGAATCCAGGCTGGGGCTAAGTGCATATCTGCAAAACTGTCATTAGAGCCTACGAGCCACCTGAGTTTAAAAGCTGGCATGCTTTCAGTACTACACTTTCAGGTGTGCTGAATGGATGTCTCACATAAACAAGAGTTTGTAGTGCAAGGATTGCAATACAAGAGACCTTCACACTGGTAAAGCAGCACTACTTGCACCCAGCCCAGTAAAAAAATCCTTCCTGCTTGATATCTGTGCTGATTAATACCTTTATGAGGACTTCAAAATCTCAGCAAGTTAACCTTTGTCCTTATCTCTATGCCTCTTCATGAACAGCTGGCAAGGGAAGAGCAAAAATCTGCTAATAAAAACCTCTCCTATTTGATTATTTGTCCTAGGACACAGTGTTTCAGTGCTGCTTGAGCATCTTTGCATCAGTGGCATGATACCATCACAGTAGAGAAAACTGCCAAATCACAACTAGAAAATATGGACCCTTCTCCAAGGCACTACTGCTGCTCTCAGGAGCAATCCTCCCCCCTATTTTTTCAGACAGCTTAAACTGTTTAACCACTGCCTCCTTTTCCTTTTTTTTCTTTCATGCTTCAAATGAGTATCCTAGTTTTGGAAACACCATTTTTCCCTTATTATTCTCTTTTTCCAAACACCAAGAGATACTGTCAAAGAATGGCAAAACAGAAGCAAAAATAGGACAAATTGAGATGAACTTTGGTAACTTGGGTTGTTTGTTTTCCCCTGCAGATGGACAGCAGGAACATGATTACAAATCAAGATATATCTTGAAGAGCAGGAGGAGGGCAAGAATATTGATGTGTATATGAGGTCTGGTCCACTGAGACTAAAGCTGCCCTTTTCTAATTAAACAGTGATGTCAATTCACAAAAGGAAAAAACCCAAACCAGCTGTAGCAATACAACGGCTTCAGCAAATGGGAGGCCTTTTGCACAGATCAATATTGTTTGAATGTGTATGTCAGAAACAGGACACCTAATTCCTTGTGTGGGGATGGTGCATTAATTACACACTTCAGAAGGGTCTTTCTGGGCTCATGAAAGCCTCAGGCACTCCTGGGAAAAATGTTCTGTTGTGCTGGAAGCCATCTGGGGAAGTCTCTGATCTCAATGTGCAGGAAAGGCATTCTCTGGGGAGAATTCTGCTTTTACTCTCTGTTTTTTAAGGATCATCAGTGATTCCTGAACTCAGACCTACTCAGCAGTACAGTTCTGCAGTGTATCTTGAAGAACAGACCAAAAGCTCATACAGGGGCTACTATAAAAGGAAGGGGAGACAAAAGGAGTTTACATTGGAAAAAAAAAAAATCAGGAAGAAAGAAGAGTTCCTGTCTCTGCAGACTATTCCTTCATGTCTGGAGTTATCTGTCTGCTTTGACACAGAGAAAAGACAGATGTACCATCTTTTCCAGCTTAATGTGGAAGTCACTCATATAGCCGTGATATATGGCTTTCTCATAGGTGGGAAAGAATAACAATGAGCCACAGTCATAAGCTCAAATGATACAAAACAAGGAAATAAAAGAAGCATACATAGTATTATGTATTTTTGAGGACTATTGTAAGCAGAAGAGGAACAATAAACGGTGATTCCACATAGTAAAAACTTCTTGATTTTGTTTGACTGTTTGTTAAAGCTAAGATCTTTATCCAGTAAAAAACATTACTGACTTGAAGACATCACTTGAGCCCTGAAAAATGCAGGGTGAGACTTGATAGCTAAATACTGTAAGAAATGTTGTGGTTTGACTGCACAGGGCCAACTCCTACACATTGAAATATTCAGCTCAAAAATATGATGACATTTTTTACCCTTGCAGTATTAGCAACACCCTTGTAGCTACGAGACATGCCGAAGATCCAAACAGAGATGGCCATCACCTGAGAACCTTAAGCTAGTCCTCCAACTAACAATGGGTTTTGCACACACTTAGGTAACTGAACTAGAAAAAATGGAAACCGATACTTGCAAATAAAATCCTATCTATATTTATTAATAGATGAAGTCAGAAGTACACAGATCTTGCAGAGCATTCATCCCTGCATTTGTGCATGGCAACTCCCTAGATACCATCCTTTCTTTCTTTAACTTTCAGGGGAATTTAGAGCATTCCTAACATCAGAGCAGCTCTTACCACTTTCATAGAATCATAGAATGAACTAGGTTGGAAAACACCTTTGAGATCAGCAAGTCCAAACTATGACCTAAAACCTCCTCATCAACTAAATCATGGCACTGAGTGCCACATCCAGTCTTTTTTTAAATACCTCCACAAGCAGTAACTCCATCACCACCCTGGGTGGACAATTCCAGTGCACAATCACTCTTTCAGTGAAGAATTTTTTCCTAATGTCTAGCCTAAATTTCCCCTGGTGCAGCTTAAGACTGTGTCCTCTCATTCTGTCACAACTTGCCTGTCAGAAGAGGCTGACCCCCACCTGGCTACACCCTCCTTTCACGCAGCCCCAGGTCTCTCAGCTGGTCTTCATAGGTGTGGCCTCACCAGTGCCCAGTACAGGGGAAGAATGACCTCCTTGCTCCTGCTGGCCACACTATTCCTTATAAAGGCCAGGATGCTGCTAGCCTTCTTGGCTACCAGGGCACACTTCTGGCTCATGTTCAGCCAGCTGTTGATCCTAAAGAATAACACCAGTCATCTGTGGAACTAGTTAAAACTAGAGTCCTCAGAATATCCACTATCTAGCTGACAGTCACTATCAATAGAGACATCTTTTTTCTCTTTTGAAAGACCTTGTAAAAAATAATCTCTTTTAGACTGTTTTTACACTGATTTTGTTAAAGCCTGCCTAGGATGGTGTAAGAGAAGCACAAACTGTTGCTCAGGTGAAGTTTGGACAAAAGGTGAAGTTTGACAAAATGCAGGTTTGGTTTGGAGATGTCACAGAAAGTCAAATGAAAACAAGAAAATAAAAACTTGAACACAAAAGGTGTGTAATATTTTTGAGATATTCTGATCTGCTCTATGAACAAGAGACTGCAACACATGACTTTACCTTTGCACTTTGTTGGCTTTTCCTATAGCTCCAAAATTTGATTAGTTCACATAAAACTGAAGAAGTAAAGTTCCAAAAAGACCAATCATTTCTTGCTTGATTTTGGCAATTTATGCATGAACCATTTCTTTTTGTTCACTGAAGAACATACGGCCTGACCTACAAAACCGCAGTAGTTTACTTGGACAGTTTCAAAATTTAATCAGCTCTTTATAACCAGCAGTCCTAACCAAGTGATTATTAATGTTACTTGTAGAGCTAAGCCATGAAAAGTGTATTCAATAAAATGTTCTCATTTTATGCAGATGGGGGGAGGTGAAGAGGAAAGACACCATTTCTTTCTTGTGTGTATGTGTTCCAAAATGGGAAGCAAAAGGGAATTATTTTGTACCTCAGAATCACAGTATCATGAAGGTTTGAAAGACTTCCTAGATCATGAATTACATTTGACCAAACACCACCATGTCAATGAAACCATAGCACTAAGTATCATGTTCAGTTCTTTCTAGACTATTTCCAGGGATGATGTGTCCACCACCTCTCTGGGCAGATGATTTCAATGCATGACCACCCTCCCAATGAAGTTCTTGCAGTTCAACCTGGACCTCCCTTGGCACAGCTTAAGGCTGTCCTCTTGTCTTGTCAGTGGTTGCCTGGGAGAAGAGACTGACCCTCACCTGCCTACAACTGTCAGGCAGTCATAGAGAGTGATAAGGTCACCCCTGAGCCTCCTCCTCTCCAGACTAAACACCCCCTGCTCCCTCAGCCACTCTTCATAGGACTTACTCTCTAGGCCCTTCACCAGTTTTGTTGTCCTCCTCTGGAAGTGCTCCAGCAAATTTTGTCTTACACAATTTGATCTGGTCTACTGCAAACCAGCTCCATGCCACCATGCCTGTTAGAAAAGTTTTAATGGGTTCTCCCGTATTATTATTCTGATTCTGAATGCTTTCTGCAAGTTCCAAATATGAAATCATTAGATTGATATTTATGAAAGTAACTAATGAGAAATCTGATAAATATAATTTTGTGCTTCTCATGTCAGTATAAAAAAATATTCTACCTAGAGCGCGTCAATATTGCTGGTTGTATGTAGTGATATTTTGCACTGAAAAATAAAGGAGTATGTACAAGAGATTTGTTGCTGCTAATAATTTGTTCTTAAAGGAAATAGAATATAAACTAAAAGGTAAATAATAAACTTTAACATTATAAACATAGCAAACATAACATAATAAACATAAAATGTAAATAATGAGAGATACTGAAGGCTTTCAAGCATATGTTTTAAGACAGGACTACACCTGTAAGGCCTCTGAGTTTGATTTGTCATTCTTTGGAATGCTGAAAGGACCTCTACCCTCAA